AAAACGTGTGTATGTAACTTTTTTGTTTACCATCCGATCGGCCCCAAACTTATTTTCAAAGATCTTTGTTCAAATTCATTTAAGGGGTGTTTCACACTTTTAGGAAAATCCGTTCCTCCTTGGTGGAAATGGAGGTCAAAGATTTGGTGAGTGACGTTTCGCGCTGAAATTCATTTCTAGAGATCTATAAGAAAAATCATTTGATACGCGTTTCACACTTTTCGCAGAATTCAAACTTCTTCGGGGGGAATGCGATTTAAAGATTTTTTGTGCGAAGTTTTAAGTTGTGTTCGATTTGCTTCAAACTTATTTTCAAAGCTCTATATAAGAATGTAATGAATACGTGTTTCACCGATTTGGGAAATTCCACTCGCAACAGTGGTAAATTGGCGGAAAACGTTTGTATGAAAGTTATTTGTTTACCGTCCGATCAGTTTCAAAATCATTTCAAATTTGTTTGAGAACATTGATTTTATAACATACGTGCCACGGGCAAGGCCGGGTTATACCCGCTAGTTTTAGATATAACTTAACAATTTGGATATTTAATTCTAACCATATTAACTTGAACTCCCCGACTCACTTTACATTTTACACAGATAAATGAGTTCGAAGTCCAACGACTTAAGTAACAAAAATTGAAAGTTGTTCGCCTATTTTAGTTTGTTGTGGTAAGCTTTAAACCGAAAAGCAAATCTGTGACCGCTATATCCACCAAGGAGGAGTGGATTTTGCGTATTGTGTGAAACACGTGCCAGTATAAAGGCAATCGGACTGTAAACAACAAATTTTGACAACCTTTTTCTGTGAATTTTCCACACATGTGGAAATCCCTCGCAGCGTGCACTTTTAAGTGCAATACAGCTTCCTAGCTCTTACGGCTTGGACGGTCCGTTGATCGCCAGTCAGTCAGTCAGGACAAAGAGTTTTATATATAGTTTAAAAAAAAAGACGCACCATAGGACCAGCCATGTATGGCTACGCGTTCCATATCAATATAGCCCAGCTGATCGGAGAGTATGCGCAGCGCATCCACCTGATCGGTCAGCTCTACCTGACCCATGCGACCGCGTATGTGACTCTCGAACCGTATGCCACGATGCCTGCTGCCACGCGAATCAATGCAGATCACACAATAGCCCTGAGCAGCCAGCATGTGCATGCGCAGCTGATGTTTGCCCTGTTTAGTTATAGAAACAAACAAGATTAGTTTTTATGGGATTGGTTAAAGGCCGCAGCACTTACCTTGAAGGTATTGTTTACGGTTTGCACCTCGGGTCCGCCGTACACATTAAGCACCGTCGGATACTTGACGCCCAGCTGGAAGTTATGCGGCTTAAAGACCATGGCATAGACTACTTCACCCGTTGGCAGCTGCGGCCGAAAGATTTGCGGGCAATATTGTGGCTCCGGTTTGCCGCCCTCATGCAGAAACCCAACCAACGAGATCTGTATGCCATTGACGCCGCCATTCTGGCAGGTTTGCGTCACACGCATTACCTTGCAGCTGGGCAGGCGTTGGATATTGCAATAGACGAGCAGCATCAGTTGACATTGCTGCAATAAAGTAGAGTTATTTGTGAAGACGGGCATATATAAACTGGCCTAACCCGTTATCTTGCAAGTTATCTTGCAAAGCAATTAAGTTTTTTAACAAGAACTTATTTTTAGGCCGATCGTTCCTTAAAGTTTTGTATAGCGAGCAAATTCTATTACTTACATCATCAAACTCCACCAGATAGGAATAGCCTGGCTCGGTTAGCAGGCGTATGTGCTCGGGTCGCTGCAGACTGACCACATAGAGATGCTTCTCCAGCGGCGTATCGCGCAGTCCCACAAAGTAAACCAGTTGATTAGCCTTGTCCACCCACAGATTGCGTGCCAGCACCTCCCACTCACCGCTCGTCAGGGCCACCTTGTTGACAATGCGCGGTTGAAGTGCTGCCGCTTCCACAAAACTGGGATGTTGAGCAGCTGCCAATGCGGCAATCGCATCCGTTTGACAGCCATTGACATGAGTCAGAAGCAAACTGGACGTGACTAGATATAAATGCCTGAAGCCCGTCTCCTCTGAGGCCCAGAGATAGGTGACAGTCAAATCGTTTAGCTCCAGAAAATATAGCATATCATGCACATTAATCCAGCTCTCCGATTGCTCCGTATAGATGACCTGCAGTGGGGTTATTGTGCGATTATATGGGCTACGCCAGCTATGATCCCCAATGGAATCTGTGGGCGTGGACACCTGACTGCTGTACGACTCGCAAAAGTTGTCCAGCGGTATGAGCATGACATCCAAGCGCTGCTGCTTGCGGTTGAGGCCCTGCAGCCAAACACTGAGAATTGAAAAAGGGAGTACTTTAGCATGGAATTTAAAAGATTTGAACTAGAGCCCTGCATCGCATCAAACGAAAAGCAATTTGGATACTCTAACAAATATTTCGAGCAAGTCAAAACTAAATTTGGGAGCTTACTAGTTGGCATCCGGTGTCCAGCCGACGCGTACAATGTACTCTAGCCAGGGAAATACAGCCGAAAGAGAATAGGGTAAATCCTTGATGCTAATCTCAGTAATAAGCAACGCCTCGTTGAGCACAAATTGTACAAGCTTTAGCTTGGATTTTGCGTTGGGCGTGCCGCTGCGTGGAAATCGATACTCATCCACCTCGCCCGGCACAGCCGTCGATGAGGGGAATGTGTATAGGGACACATCCGTTTCATCCACCTCCTCGTAGACAATGCGATAGACGCCATCATCCGAGTGCGGCTGCCACCAATAGCCCTGGTAACGACTGAACTCCTCCTGCATTACATACGAGGGCACACCCGCACTCAGGGCATCATCCGCAAACGTGCGACGACCGCTTCTAGTGTACGTTAAACGCTTCTCATGGCCGCTAAGCGTGTGCGTTACCCAGATATCACAGTCACTGATGTGTGCAATCAGATCCGAGTTCTGAGGGCAGATTTGCGGATCCAGTGCAGTCCACTCGGGGCACGTGCGCAGTTGCGTGGGAAACAGCAGGCCAGACTGTGCCAAAAGAAAGCAAAATTAATTAAGATTTGATTGATGCACAGGCTGACAGCATGTTCTATGCTCACATTGTAGCCCGTGTCCAAGCACTGATACAGATCGTTGAAGCAGGGAAAAACCAGTTTGCCGCTGGGCTTGTGCAACTCATATGAAGTAATGCCCCATGTGGGCAAACGCTTGCGCTCCTGCAGCAACTGAAACTCCCGGGCATATGGACAGGCGCTGCCATTGCCGCTGACAGTGCTCACGCTCACATGAGTGCTGGGTATGGGTTGCTGGAGCAGTGACTGCCAGGTCAGCCTGTTGATTCAAGAAATGATAGGAAGAAATTACTAATTGATGACAGCTAGACAAGCAGCTAATTCCACCTGGGCTTGGGCGGTGCACCAAAATGAAACGTTGGCAGGTTAATTGTGGGTGATGCGACGCCGCCGCTAGGACTGCCAACATTGACTGCTTCAATGTCGCCGCCACCGAGCTGCTGCTGCTGGTGCAGCTGCTGTTCGTCGTGCTGTCGCAGATTGATGTCCGCGAAGAGCAACGTTGTTTCCCACGTGTGCGGAGGGGTGCTCAGAAAATAGCAGCGGGCACGGCCATCGGACAGATGACGGAACTGCACATTGGTGGGCACCATCGTGGACAGATTAGACAGCTCTTTGCGTATCTCTTGCACAAAACATTTGATTTCGGCCCATGATTTGGAGGGTGTGGGCGCCGCCATATGCCCATCATTATCGACAGCATCATCCTCATCCTCCTCCTCATCGTTATCATCGCAGTCCTCATCATTGTTGCTCAGCAAGTGCGGCGGTGTACTGCCGCCGGTAGGTGAACTCAAATGATTTGTTATGGCCGATGCAGCGGCTACCACCACCTCCGTGGTTGTGGCTGTTGCCGCCGCCGCTGCTGCCGTTATGGGCGATGTTAGGGAATTGATAGCGCTGCCTATTGAGGAGTAAAATGCATTAGCTGTGGTACCCAGCGAGCCCATGCTCGTAAGACTAGCTATCGAACCGGCACCAATGCCGCCACCCACGCCCACTCCAATGCCAGAATGTGTAGAGCTGGGCGTGCTAGCTGCACTGTGACTGCGCTCCATGGCGGTGCTATTGATGCTGCTGGTGACGCTCACAGCTGTCGAAACACGCGAGGTGAATCCATCAAAGAGATTGACAAAGGATGTGGCCGCTGCGTTAGTTATGCTATGGCTGCGCTGATGTCCATTATTGTTTTTGTTTTTGCTATTGCGTTTGTTGTTGCTGCTGCCTCCCGCCGCGCCGCTGCTGTCCGTGGTTGATGGTGCGCTGGCTTCTGTGGAGCTATTGGCGTTTGGACCGCCTAGATTAACAACAAGCGGTGAGCTTCGCGATGTTTGTTGTTGTTGTGTCGTTTGTATTCTGCTGTCCATGTTGCTTATTTTGCTTACTTTTAGCGCGCAAATGCAACGCAGTTTTCGTTTTCACTCACAATTTCAAATTGACCCAAATTAGTACTCCACGTACGCACACATACACACACAGACAGACGAAGAAGGCAGACAGACAAATAGACAGTCAGCTTTTTGGTTAATTTCCTTTCCCTTTGCACACACTTGCACACACACACACGCACATACATGCCCAATCGCTCACTCACACAGCCATGCGATTAGTTTTGTTATTGTTGTTATCGCTGCTGCAGCTGCATTTCATTTGTTTATACGCAATTATTTACTATTTTTAACAAAATATCTATGTCGCCTCGTTTCCAGTGGGTTTGTCTAGCTTTGCTTTTGTCTGTCCGCTCGGATTTTCATTTTCCTCTTAGGTGCTGCTGCGCTCTCTTCGTGAGACGAAGTGTCGTTTGGTAATTGTTGTTGTTTTTCTATTTTTTTTATTCGTCTCTTTGCAAAAAAGTGAAAGTCTTGCGCGTGTTTCAACTGGCACCCAGCTCGCACATGTGCTGCATTTAATGCATCAGCGCACACTTAATTAAATGCCGTTTTATTTTTCTTCGTTTAGGTAAATAAATTTATTTAAATCAGTTGTTTTTATTGTTTGTCACGGGCCACAGTGAGTGATATGATTTCCACTGCAATGCCGTTTGTTTTACTTGATTGTGTACCACGCAGTGTTGCAGTTTAGCGAAACAGTGTCACCATCAGACGGTTTGTAATATGAAACGGTCACACTGCACAGATGTGTGATAAACCGGCTTTATTTATAGGACATTGGCATCAGGGCTTTTTTTTATATATGGTAAAGTCAGCGTAGGTAAAATTTTGCAACTCCTCGATTGGGCCAAAAACACATTTATCGATGCGGCTAGTGGGACTGCCAGTATATTTTAACCAAATACGCCTGAAAAATAAATTTTAATTCGAACCTCGGCTTGTTTTTTGTTTGACAACATACATAGCCTCGAAGCTTTTTTGGTATCCCTGAATTAATCCAATAACTGTGTTTCTATCAGTATACATGCACCAGCCACGAACCCCAAGTTTTTGAGCCCGTCGCAAGGTATACTAAATAAATTATCAACACCTAAAATGAAGTTTGCTTTAAGGAATAGGTAGTCCTTACATGTCGAAACGAAACGTCTGCAAAAGAATAATTTATTTTGAATTCCCTTTCACGAAATATACATACGTTGGCCATGACATACCTTGCACAATTCCAAATATTTCAAATTCACAGCCCTGAATAATTAATTTTAGGACGTCTTTGGGATTTTTAATTACCGAAGTTTGCTGAGCCACTGCTTTTACCTTGGATTTATTATAAAGCTTTCTTAAATGTGATCTATCCGTCTGGGTTTGGACACTTTGAGTACCCATTATCAAAAAAAAAAGAAGAAAAAAAAAGAAAACAAACAAAAAAAAACACAAATTTTGAAACTTCTTTGAAATCAGTTGATTACGACTTGGCTATTGTCAGGTTTAAAAAATAGAGCAACACTGGCCTACCTGGTAATCATATATATGGCTATCGTTAATCGTTAATCGCTACGCACTTTGTTTGCGAGACACAACGAGACGCAGTTGAAAATTAATTTCAAAACAAAATAGATAGAAAGCAAAAAAAAAAAAAGTACAACATGACTACGAATACTGTATACGCTGGCGTGCATGTTAAAAACAAACTAAGCGACTTTTATCCAGTCCACAACATTGATATGGAACAGAATGTGGCGTACTTGAAAAAAATCATTGCACAGCAGCTGCAGTTACAGTTCGATGCCGACGAACTTGGTGTGTATATTCGATATAGTATATACACATATTTGTTTATAGTATAGAAATAATGCCAACTCATTGTGCGCTCACCTATACAGATATATGCTATCTGGGCAAGGTGCTCAGCGACGACTCTAAGCTCTCCAGCGCTATGAAACCGAATGCAATCGTCCATTGTTTCCGCAAAATGAAGGGATATACTCCATACGAGCCGCCAGCTCCCAGCGACATTAATACCAAGCACATACAGGAGCTCTTTTCGTTGACCTCGCACTTGCAAATCAGCGTCACGTCACGTTTTAACATATTGCAAAAGATCTTAGCCGAGTATCCGGAATTCCGACGCAATTTGGGCGCACAGGCTCTGATACGTGACTCGGTGCTGTTCAATATGCTGCATGAACCGGAGGTGGTTCAGAATCTGGTGCGTGATTATCCCATAATATGCGAGGCAGCTTCATTTATAGTCGATACCATACGCAAGGAACTGGCACGCAATAGTTCTGCCACGCAATGTAAGTCTTATTCGTAGTGAAGATTAAATTGGAGCTGGGTGGGGAAATAAGCCCACCTAGCATACTCCTTGCTATGCCTTTGTTCATCAATGCATGATCTCATGATCTCTGCTTGCAGTTCAAGAGCAGGCTGCCTCGGAGTCAACGACCTCGTCGGAGGAGGAGAACTCTTTAGGCGCCGGCAGCAGCAGCAGTGGGGGTAGCAGCAGCACAGCAGCTGCCAATATGGCTGCCAATAGACGGGATGAGCTAGCCAACATACGGCAAATAAGTCGCCAGCAGCTGGCCAATGCATTGGCGCGCGTCGACATGAGCTCCTTCAACTCGCTATCCAACATAGCGCAGCGCAATGTGGACGAGGCTCTCAGCGATGAGCGACCACGCTCCAGCACATCATCTGCCGCCAGTAGCATAGCTGGAGCTGCCGCTGGAGGTGCTGGTAGTGCTGCTGCCATCTCTTCGGAGCTGTTGCGCAATGAGTTGGCGCGCGCTTTTCAGTCGCTGCAGCAACAGCCATCTGTGGAGAGCATGGAAGTGGAGTCAACGGCAACGAGTGCAGCGGCCAGTGAGGCGGCTGTTGTGGATGAGCCAGAGGATGATGATGACGATGCTGTTGCTGGCGATGATAGCGATGTTCTGCCGCGTTGCTATCGCAGGCACCGCTTTACCGAGCAGCTGCGCACCATGGCTGCCATGGGCTTTATAAATCACACCCAAAACGTTAACTACTTGACGCTGGCCGATGGCAATGTGGAGCATGCCATTAATCTGCTTATGTTGGGCATGAACTGAACGCGATGCGGAAGCAGCTTAGCACTAAGCACATGTATTTATTATGCTGCTGCGGCGGCTGTCGTCATATAAATATATGCATATATATAAATACTATATATACTTATGTACACGTAGGCGATTTAGCATTATGTTTTGTAGCTGCGTTCCTCAGCATATGCAAACACAATAAGCTCCAAGTTCTCATAGAAATAAACAAAAATATCTTTGCATGTAACGTGGGGCGCTTGTATTGGATATGCGCCTTTAGCAGCTTGGAGCGCCGGGGGCGGCCGACATATCATATTGAATTGCACTACTTAATTAAATAGTCTAGCGCTTTGTCCTTATTGTTATTAAATTTCAAAAGCGCCGCCGAGATTTTCGTTTCTTCAAATCCGAGATCCATTAGCTCGCCCAGTGGAATGAGATGCTCGATTATCTAATGGAGAGAAAATGACATTTAGATCTTAATCAAATCTTAAGCAAATCTTGGTTTAAAAACAAGTTCTCTATAGGTTTCCGTCCGTGACGAATACGTTAAACAAAAACAGGGAAGATTAAATACGCTGGATAAAATTTTGGCAAACAAAAACTTAATATTCGACCGATTATTCTTTGGCAGCTACATGATACAGTGGCACGGTTAAGCCGGATTCGACATGGGGAAGACAAGCCTAGGCCTTAAAGCCGAAATACTTGTGTCCATACATCCACTCGGCTATTGAAACTAATCAAGAATATATCTACTTTATAGGGTCGGAGATGTACTCCTTCTGCAAAGGCATAAAAATGGGTTATGCCGTTTACCTTTCACAGTTGGCGCTCATCAATCAGACAGTCAATCAATCAGTCAAGGCAAATAGTTAAATCTATATATTGTCAAAGCGTACTCACGCACCTTCTTGTCATCGACGCCACACAGGCTAACCACCTTGGCCACACGCTCCAGCGGAAAACCCATGCTGCTAATACGCTGCGCTAGTTTCTGTGCTGGCACAGCCAGCTCCTGGAATATGTTGGCATTGCTCGGCTGTTGGCTGTTGGGCTGATGTTGCTGTGGCAGGGTCAATGCTAACGTCTGCGATTCGTTCTCATTGTGGCTGTGCAGGCGGGTGCGACGCTTTTCCGCCTGCTGCAGCTCCGTTTTCAGTTCGCGTAGTATGTCAGGCACGCTCCTGGACTTGGCGTCAGCGTCCTGAGTGTTCGCTGACAGAAAACTAGTAGGCGGCAGCGGAGGCAATTGAGTGGGCGAGGCATAGCCATTGGCAAAGCTATGCTGCAAGTAATTATGATTTGGGTAAAGCTGCTGCTGGCTGGAAAGCTGAGGATAATAGTGCTGATTGTAGACCATGTGTGGATAAACGTGCTGCTGTGTTGGAGTGTTGTATAAGGGTGTTGGGTACATGGCTGGAATGTCTTGGGCATCATCACAGTGTACTTGAAAGTTGACGCTGTCAAGCGTCGCTTTGGTTTCCGCCAGCGTAGTAACAGCCAGCTCCAGTGCCGGCTGCTGCGACTGCTCCACTTTGTTCTCTGGCTCCCTCTCTGGCTCTGGCTCCGGCTCCGGCTCACTTGTTGCCTGGGCCGTTTGCGTCAACTGCGTCTGGTGCAGCACCTGCGCCAGTATATCCAAATCGTTAATAGTTTTCATCTCAATGTTATCGAATGGTGTCGAGTTCATATTATACTCGAAATCTGCATAGTTCAGTGAACTGTTCCGTTTATGGAGTGTAACCACCGGTGGCGCTGCTGCAATGCCACTCAAAATGGTGGGTTGCAGTATATTATAGAAATTGCATGAGTTTATTGACTTTGGTTCGAGTTGTTCACGTGACGCAGCGGCGTTAATTGATGTTGTTGTCGCTGCTGCTGATGCTGTTGTTGTTGTTGGTGACTCCACAGCTAACTGCTCATCATCGTCGCTATCGGAGGACAACTCTGCTGCACTAGGATATTCAACAGCGCCGAGCATCTCCTTTTGCTTTGCCTCCAGCGCACGCTGGCGTTCCTGTTTGCGCTGCTCCTGGCGCATCTGACGCGCCTGATGCTGCTGATGACGCATGCGACGCCAGTGCTGGCATTTGCTGAGCACACTACGCTCCAGTTGGTAGTCATAGTGATATGCCTGCTCTTCCGCATAGTAGTTGGGGCTATATTGGGCCAAACGGTTCGCAATAGTCGGGGGCAATTGGTAAACTAATGGTGGTGGTTTATAGCGTTCGACTATTTTGACGGGGACATCATCCATATTATTTGGCCAGCACTAGACATATGCGCATACACGACGAATTTTATTTATTATAACCTACGCACTTTTTATTTGTGACTATCCGTGTTTTAGTTGTTTTTGCTGTTCTTACTTCTCTTTTGTTTTTGCAAAACGATATTCAGCAAGCAGCAATCGATAAAAGCTTCTTTGTTGAGACATATTAGCCGTTTAAAATATGTGTGCACACTGATTAAGCCTATCGACTATGTCCGTTAGGAGTACCGTAATAATAGGAGTGTTTGAATAATAACATAAGCTTTATTAAGTATGAAATTACTTTAGCTTTTAATTTGGCTGAAAAATACTGCTAAAACAGGTGAAAACAATCAGGACCTAAAGAATGATGGTAACTGTCGATATATCACATTGTAAAAGTAAACTACTTCGATATCAAAGGCGATAAGTAAATAAATCGCTTGGATAGTGCCTAAATTTCGACAAACGCGTTTCGTTTTGTTATTTTTGTGGAAAAGGCATTTGCAAAATTCTTGAAGACATTTTGCATATGCAGGAGCTCAAAGAATAATTTTGCTTGATCAGCACCAAAATGTGCGATGTAGATAACCTAAAGCTGAGCCACCAACAACTGCTGCAGGAAATCACAACGCTGCTGGCAGCCAGCGCCGAGCCATGCGATACAATTGCCTTGAGACTGAACCAGGAGCTGCAACGGCGGCTGGAACAGGTGCGCCGACGTATGCTGGAGCTTTTGGAGCTAGTACGCGCTCGCTACAAACGCAACGAGCAGATACTAATACGCCGTCAGAAACCGCGCTCAGCGACCGGCGGTGAAAGCGTTGGCCAGAGCGGCGCAGTGCTGCGCGGCGGAACGTTTCGCTTCAAGGGCAATCTATATTTTCGGGATGTGGACGGTCGGAGTTGTCCCAACAATGAGGACTATGAGAGCCGCTGCGACACCGAAATGTTTCCCACTGATTTCGATATGCGCTCCAAGCACGTCTGGACGGTGCTGGACAAGAAAAACGTGGTTATGGGTATTAAGCAGCAGGTAAGTGGACACGCCTCTAGGAGCTGGCAGAAAATTTGATGACTTCCCA